TCCTATAGGTTTTGGATCATTGTGCTTTCATTTTCATTTGTCTCTAGGTATCTTTTTGATTTCCTCTTTGATTTCTTCAGTGATCCATTGGTTGTTTAGTAGCATACTGTTCAACCTCCACGTGTTTGTGTTTTTTATATATTTTTTTCTCGTAGTTGATTTCTAATCTCATAGCATTGGGATCGGAAAAGATGCTTGATATGATTTCAATTTTCTTAAGTTTACTGAGACTGTCCTTGTGGCCCAGCATGTGGTCAGTTCTGGAGAATGTTCTGTGTGCACTTGAGAAGAATGTGTATTCTGGTTTTGGATGGAAAACTCTATAAATAGCAATTAAGTCCATCTGGTGTAATGTGTCAGTTAAGGCCTGTTTTTCCTTATTCATTTTCTGTCTGCATGATCTGTCCATTGATGAAAGTGGGGTTTTAAAATCTCCCACTATTATTGTGTTACTGTCAATTTCTCCCTTTATGGCTGTTAGTATTTGCCTTGTATATTGAGGTGCTCCTATGTTGGGTGCATATGTATTTACAATTGTTATATCTTCTAATTGTATTGATCTCTTGATCGTTATATATTGTCTTCGTCTCTTATAAATCTTTAATGTCTGTTTTGTCTGATATGAATATTGCTACTGCAGCTTTCTTTTGATTCCCATTATCATGGAATACCTTCTTCCATCCCCAACCCGGCCATTATTGATGTACTAAGTACATGAACAAAGTGCTGAGTCAATGATAATTGTTTCCACCTTCTAGAACAACTGTGCAAAAACACTGAGAACTCTATTACTGACTTCCTGGAAGAGTGTATAGCTAGTTAAGCTGGATGTCCTACTGAGTATTTGGAATCAACACATTCTTTGGTCTTTCTAGTAGTCATTTTTCAGAGGAATAAATGTCTTGCAGAATATGGCCTAAGTTTCTCTCCATTAATGACTTCTACCTTTAAATGAAGATATTTTGACTTGCGAAAGAAAAATTAATTTTATTTCTGGCTCCAGGTAAATACCTGTTTAATTTCTGAGACATTGCATAAGAGCCATCCAGAACATATTTATTGAAATTTACTCTTTCAGGGAGAATACTGAGTTGCCACAAATTCTTCAGATGTCTACACTCACAATGTTTGGGTTTGAAAACACAAGAAGGCCAAGCAACCAATTCTCCTATCTGAAATTTATTTGATTCCCTTTCTAATATGCATGTTGAAATAAAAAAAAGTAGCCTTATGCTGATAATCACTAGCAATCTGAACAATAAACTTAGAAACTAGCTGTTACATTCTATCATCAAATCCTGTCCATAATGTCTTTGAAATAGCACATATATCCATTCTATTCGTCATATTTACAATTTTCATTCTGTGCCATTATTTCTTCTGTTCTGAACTGAAGCAATTATCTCATAAATGACTCTATAGCTTCTGTTTTTATTCAAATATTTGATCCTGAAATCTTTTGTAAGCTACCATTTGCTGAGCACTTACTAAATGTAAGCCATCCTGGTGAAGGCTTCACAAACAAGCTCATCTAATCCTCACAGTCACCCTGAGAGTTAGGAGGTGATAATGTGGATTGGCTCCTTCAACATTTAATCTTAACTTTTTCCCAGTGTACCTTCCTGGGCTGGAAAGTGGGAAAGCTAAATGCCACATTCCCCAGACTCATTTCCAACCAAGTGCATCATTCATATGCATTCATGCAAAACTTGAATCCGAACTGAGTGAAGTCTAGAGAGATGCAGAACTGGAGGTGCATGTTTTCTATTACAAACTATAGCAAAGACGTCGTGACTCTGGACTTGAGAGATGTCATGGTGACTTCTTGATACAGCAGTGGCTTCCTGATTATGGCAGGAGCAGCAGTATATCCATGTTGGTCCAGTTCTTCATTGGCTTTGGGCATCATTTTTTAAAACTCAGCAAATGCTTCCAAAGGCCATTTGCTATTCTGTAGTAACTCTCTCCATGCTTAAACCAGGCAGGGTAGATTATAGTAACTACAAATAAGCACTAAACTCTGTAGGTAAATTATATTCCCACTGTCTATTTGAGAGAGAGTAGTTTAAAGTATTTTAAATTTATACAGATAGTAAGTAATGATTTAGGATTTAAATCCAGGCAACACTGAGACATTGTTTAAAACCACTATGGTGTGATGTGCGTGCACTGTTTTAATTCTCTCTTTATAAATTCATCACTGCTGACAAGATGAAGGCCAAATACATTTGATTATCACCAAAAGCCATTTTTAGCTTATCCCAAGTTCCTTTCTTGTTTCTCCTTTTTTTTCCCCCCCAAAGCATTTTATGCTCTAGTCGTGCTGAAATTACTCCTGGCCTTGCCCTTCCATCTTGTTTTTCACCCTAATTCTTTTATCTGGAATTCTTTCCACTCACTTAACTTAGCCCAATTCTACACATACTTTGGATAATTTATTCCAATCTATTGCTCTGAGAAAATTGTAGTGCTTATTTATCCTTTCTTTTAAATTTCATATCACTTATTATATATCATTGCTTTGATAATTAAACATAATGCCTTATATCTCACCATTATCTTATATAGTGACTCTTTAAATTCTTTATGGCTAAATCAGAAAGTTTTTGGTAAATTGCTTCCTCTTATAGTTCACTGAATCCTCCTCAGAAGTATAGATATCCTGGTGACTTGCTTCTTTTATTTGTATAATAATTTTAAGGTGATGATTTTCAAGCTATAGCTCTCACAAGGATTTCCTAGAGAGTTTCTTAAAACATGGATTCCTGAGCCCCATCCTCAAAAATTCTTATTCAGTAGAGCTGGGATCTGAGAATCTGAATTTTTAACAAGCTCCCAGGTGATGCAAATGCTGCTAGTCTTGGAACTATATGTCAGTCTTGTGGTAAGAATAATGGTCATTTCTATAAAATCTTTTAAAAATTATTTTTAATTAATTTTTATTGGAGTATAGTTGCTTTACAATGTTGTGTTAGTTTCTACTGTACAGCAAAGTGAATCAGCTATATGTATACATATATCCCCTCTTTAAAAAATTCTTTTCACAAGTACTATTTTATTTGATCCCCATAATAGCTCTCTTAGAATTCTAGTATTACACCATTTTAAAAATTAAGAAAGGATATTGTGAAGTTTAAATGATTCTCCCTGGTCACAATGGTAGTAAGTAGCAGAACAAGATTTCTAATTCAGGTCCATTAATTTTAAATTCTTTTCTTTCCCTTGACATCATAATGCCACTCCCTTCTCTTGAAACTTGAAAATAATTTATAGTAAATTATTTGTTATAGTAGTTTTCATTCCTTGCAATCTTGGAGCTCAGAAGCATATATTCATTCACATTTCAGAAGATTCTAGAAAATTGCATATGAGTCAAGACTATTTTAGTTGCAAATGACAGAAACCCAACTCAAACCACTTTAAGCAAAAAAAGGAAATGTATTGATTTACAAATCCAGGGAGTAAAGCTTCAGTTAAGGTTGTTATCTAGGTGTTTAAATAATACTACTAATATTTTCTTTTTCTCTTCAATTGTCAAATTCTTTGGTCTGGATAATTCAGAGAAGCTATACTCTCATGGTGGCCAGAGAGTTACCAGTAGTTCCAGGTATGGTTCCAGGTAGTACCTCATAAACCCCATACAAAAGATAGATGGTCTTTCCCCATAGTCTGGCTCACACCTATTGGCTCTGTTTTGCTCAGCCTGATTCATATATCCACTCAAGTGACACTTGTTAACAACCAAAATTCAACTGAGTAAATTTAAAGACCTAAGTTTGCAGAAGCTTTAAATGATTCATGAATCGGGCAGCATCTCATCTGGCAAGCAGAGAGATATTCTGAGGGGTTATACAAAATAGAAGGCTTTTAAAGAAAGTGGGATAAGGAGGTCATCAGCAAGAGAGAAATTAAAGTTCATTGAAGGAAAATAAGAGCTCAGGTGATGATAGCTTCTCATTGACTGAGCTGTGGCAAATCCACTGACTGGGCTTGTTGCTGGGCAAGAAGAGCTTCCTTCCCCCTGCTGGCTAGGAAAGTAGTTACACTTCCTGTTTGAGAGTACAATGTAGTCTCTTTCAGTTGGGATCTGCAGTTGACCAAGAATGGTACTGTATTTGAGTTCCCTCTACAGTCCTTCCTGACTCCAATTTTAGTTGAGGTTTTCTTTTATTAATTTTCACACACTTTAAAGCACAGAATATCCAGGGGTTTGAAAATGTTAAAGGGTAATTTTTTTTAAAAAATTGGAGTATTACTACCAGAAAAGGCTGGAATATTATCTAAAGCAGGCAGGAACAAAGATGTCTAACAGGCCACTAAATATTTGGGTATAAATTTTGGGAAAAGTAATATGAACCTGCATATAAGGAAACCTTATGTTGATTTGGGGAGTTTGAAGAGATTAATCATGCATGTGGATAAAAGTAATCTGATTAAGTGTTTTTCAAAAGTCCTTTTATGAGGGCAATCAATATTAGTCATTTCAAGATTAGAATTATGTTTTTCCAGATGAGAAACAATAACAACAACAGAAAGATCAGAGGTGACTATAAAGGGGTACATCCATGAAGAGAAAAATACAAATATTGGTGTTTTTTAGGTATCAGAACTGTGATTGGTCTTTGTAATAGATTGTATTCTGTTCCAAATTATTTTCTTCCTCCTTACTTTTTAGATTACATTTCTACCTTTTATTATGTGACTTGCACCGCCTTTCTATTGAAGAAGTATACTTCCCAACCTCATGGCACCATGCTGGCCCAGATGATCTGCATTTGAGTAGAAGTGAGAATATGCCAGCTATAAGCAGAGCTTTAAGAGCCATTGAGTACTTTGGTTTGGACTCCTTTCCTCTGTTATAAGAATAGTATGTTCTAGATAGGGTCTTCAGGCTCTATTTTTAGCCTGCAGTCTGGAATGAGGGAGAAATGTGGGGCAGGAGCAGAACTAGTGTGACAAGTAGATAAAACAAAACAGAAACAAGAAAAAAAGCAAAAACAAAACTACAAAAAATTTTGTTCTTATAAACTACTTGAGATTTGAGGGAGGGTCATTTGTTACAGCAAACTAACCTAGAAGAAAATTGACACAGCCTTGTATAAATTTTGTTGAGTGACCTGGAGAAAGTCCTGCATTGTTTTCTCTTCAATTTGTAGATAACACTAAGGCATTTTGAATAATAAAATGAAAACAAGTAAATTACCTGAACATTTGTTAAATCTCAAGCTTTATGCTAACAGCTTTACCAACTTTATTTTCAGTATCCTGTTCAGTCTTCTCTGAATCCCTATTACAAATATCATGGATCCCTTTACCAGTAAGGAAACTCACTCATAGGTCATAGACTATGACTCACCTAAGGTCATAGATCTACTACCGGGCAGACTCAAATAAAAATTCCAGCTTAGGTGCCAGGCTTTGAAGCATTTATGAATTTTGGAGTGATCAAGTGATAAGTAACGCATGTATGCAGTGATAATCCAAACAATGGTAACGGAATTGCAGACCCTAAGAATGTAGAAATTACCCTAGAAAGAGTAAGAAAGAACACTGTAAGACACCTGCGTGAAAGCAATTGGAACACCATAGACACTGAAAATAAAAGCTGGAAGAGTAGGTGACAAATCTAAAAGCCAAGAAGAGTGTTAAAAAAAAAAAAAAAGAATATGGCTTCAAATATAAATTTTAGACTATAATGAGTTATTATTTCATGTTGCTTGAACAAATTTAACTTAGATTAAATAAAATTGTGTTATGGGTTGAATTATGTGCCCCCGACTGCCAAATTCGTATATTAAAGTTCTAACCCCTAGTATCTCAGAATGTGACCTTATTTGGAAATAGTTGTTGCAGATGTAATTAGTTAAATTAAGATGAGGTCATATTGGAGTAAGATGGGCTCCTAATTCACTATGACAGGCATCTTTATGAAAAGGGGATATTTGGACACAGTCATGCACACAGAGACTCTGCCACATGAAGATGAAGGCAGAGATCAAGGTGATGCAGCAGAAGCTAATGAAGGATAAAGATTGCTACCAAACCACCAGAGGCTAGGAGAAAGGAATGAACAGATTTCTCTCTCCCAGCCCTCAGAATGAACTGATCTGGCTGACAACTTGATCTCCATTTTCTAGCCTCCAGAACCAAGAGACAAAGCCACCCACTTTGAGGCACTTTATTGTTGTTTAAGCCACCCAGTTTGTGGTACTTTGTTACAGCAGCCCTAGAAAACTATTAGAAATTGATTATTATTAACTTAGAAAATAAGTTGTGAACTTAATACACACCACTACAAAGTGATAATCAGCTTATCAATAGGATAAAACAAAGTTTGTATAAATTCATAAAGCTAAAAGGAGCTGTGAAGGACAACTGTGATACATTCGTGCTTCTAGTCTGAGGCTGACTTAGAGGGAGAACCTAACATAAAGCTTGAGAAGTTTTTAGTTTATTATATCAAAGGGATAAACATTCGAGGTTACTTCAATAATTGTGTATAAGACTGGGATGATTTTCCAGATTTAATTTTTGGTATTTCCCAAAAGTGTCTAATATCTCCTTGTAAATTTTTAGTTGCTTTAAAAATGTAGACATAGTGGGAAGGGCAGAAGTACTTTGGCTTCTCATGGAAATAGTGTATTCTTTAATGCCCTATAGCGCTCAGCTGAAAATGGTGCCTTGATGGATATGAGAGAGTTAATTCACATCCCAGATACCTAACTTACTCCCTGGGAGTAAATTATTCATTGGCGGGACAAGGTCATTCTTCATTTTAACCATCACCATAACATTTTATATTGTCAAGTGCTACAAGGTTTCTCAATCCTTAAAATCCCTTGGTGAAGTAAAGGGGATGACAAACAAATTATGTCTGATTTACAGACTAGGGAACTGGGACTCAGGCAAGAGACAAAGCCGTCATTGGTAAGGACTATCCCAGAAGGCAGGAACTGTGGCTTGGGTCTCTGTTTATCATGTAGAGTGCAGGAGAAGACCTAAGGGATATTAGCTATGCATGCAATTCTTATATTTCTTGGAACTTTAGCTCCCCACCCAAGCTGATTCTTGGCAGCAGCCATCTGTCAAAGAAACAAAAGGTACAAAGAAAGTTAAGTACAAATTATGTACAGTGTGTTACAATCTAAGCTGCAAAATCAAAATGAAACACACTGTAACTTAAAGTCAACTCCCCAAAACAGCATCCACGAAACTAAGGACACTCTACTATGTGCCACTAGTTTGACAGGTGAATCCAGTTAAAACTATCAGTGGAGGCATGGAAAGGGGGCCAGGAGAGACAAAGCTTAGAAAAAAGTACAAAGAACAAACATTCCATTACTTACTATAATTTCATCTAAATGTTTACATTAATTTGAACAAAATCACTGTTTCTACTTTGTCATTTTATTATGAGGTCAAGCCACGACTTGGCATTTATTCAAACAAGCATGTTTTACGGACTCTTGCAGCTATACACATAGCGTTTGTCAAATTATCACCTGTAAAACAATTCTGGGCTTTGTGTTGTGAGTCTTCTGGGAATGCTCAGATTCTACCAGCCTACCAACCTAGGATCCCAGTTCTTGAAAAGTGATAAAAATTTCAAAATGAGATATCATAAAGAGCTCTTAAGAGTAAGTCCACATTTGAGTCTCAACTGGAATGTTGGGCAATGGGATACAAAGTTGGGGTGGCTGGCTGATTTTCAAATTTCTGAAGTTGAATGTTGGACATTTCATGTCTGCTTCAAGCTAAATCCTAAAATGCAAGCAGCCAGAGCAGATGTGATTTCGTGAAATTTAATGTTTATTTTGCCTTTATTTTATAAAGTTTGAAATGTTCTAACCCATTTTCCTGCTGCCAATCAGAGATCCAGTGTTGCCCTGATGCAAAATCAATGGCTGTGCTACCAGTGCTTAGAGAGCATGATTGCTCTTTGAAAGCAAGCTGCTGGGTAAAGATGCCCCTTCTGAGTTTGATCAATATTTACCACAATGAGGCAGAAGAGTTAAGAATCAGTGTGATGATCTATTTATATTGATGTCACTCAGGTCTAGAGCTCTTCTGGCACAAAGACTTACAGATGGAAATTACAAATTGGGGGTGACACGTGTGGAAACAGCTGCCACAAATCTATGACACAGAGTATACTAAAACTTATTTCAGTGTTTTTACAATTCAATAAAATGAACATATAATTAGACTTAATTTTATGATCCAAATCACACTCTTTAATACAATTATAGAATTTCTTCTTTGGTGGTAAGGTCATAGTATCTACAGAGCTAAATTACTTTCTAACAGACCAAGCAAATTAATTACCATTATATGCTCTCACACTTAATAAATAAGGGAAAGTTCTCAGATACTCTTTCACCTGGATTTCAAGGTAAAATTCCACCCATTACATGTATTTGGAAAAAAGTTTATCCTTTAATGAGAAATTAAACTTCAAAAGAATATACACGATCCATTGGTGGGGAATTTTTTTTATAAATTGTTTTTTATTGTGTTAAAATTCATATAGCATAAAATTCACCATTTTAACTACTTTAAGTTATACAGTTCGATGGCATTTATACTAATGAACATGTGCAACAAATAAATAAGTATACTATTCACAATATTGTGAAAACATCATCACTGTCTTGTTCCAGAGCACTTTCATTACCCCAAACGGAAACTCCATATCCATTAATGAGTCATTACCCATTCCTCCCTGCCCACAATCCCTGGCAGACCACTAATCTGTTTTTTGTCTCTACCTATTTGTCTATTCTGAATATTTCATATAAACAGAATTATATTGTATATGGTCTTTTGTGTCAGCTTAAACTTTCACTTAGCATATTGTTTCTGAGGATATCCATGTTATTGCATATATCAGTGTTTCATTCCTTTTTATGGCTGGGTAATATTCTATTGTCTAGATATACCGCACTTTGTTTATCCATTCATCAGTTGATCAACTTCTGGGTTGTTTATTTCTTTTTGACTATTCTGAATAGTACTGTTACGAATATTCATGTATAAGTTTTTGTTTGAACATCTGTTTTTAATTCTTTGGAGTGTTTACCTAAGAATGGAATAGTTAAGTCACATGGTAATTCTATGTTTAACTTACTGGAGGACTGCCAACCTGTTTTCCACAGTCACAGCACTATTTTACATACCCACCAGCAATATATGGGTGTTCCAATTTCTCCATGTCTGTGCAATATTTGTTATTGACTACTTTTATTATTATAGTCATCTTACTGGATATTAAGTGGTATCTTATTGTGTTTCAATTTGCATCTCTCAAATGAAAAATGATGTTGAGTATCTTTCATGTGCTTGTTGACCATTTGTGTATCTTCTTTGGACAAATCTCTATTTAAGTACTTCACCCAGATTTTAATTGGGTTGGCTTTTGTTCTTGGCTAGTAAGGTTTCTTTATATATTCTGGATACTATACTCTCTCTAGTTTTAGCTCTGGCACTTAGTTCTTTGCTCCATTTTGACTTAATTTTTATATACTGTATGAGGTAAGGATCTAATTTTATTCTTTTGCATGTAGATATTCAATTGTCCTAGCATCATTTATTAAAGACACTATTCTTTCCCACTGAATGGTTTTTGTACCTTCATCAAAATAAATTGGTCATAGATGTATTGGTTTATTTCTAGATTGTCAATTCTATTCCATTAATCTATATGTCTACCCTTATGTTAGCATCACAGTTTTTTGATTATTGTAGCTTTGTAGTAAGTTTTGGAATTGAAGAAGTGTGAGTGTTCCAACTTTGTTCTTTTCTAAGATTGGTTTGGGTATTTGTGGTCTCTTGCAATTCTGTATGAATTTTAGGATCAGCTCTTCCACTTCTTAAAAATAAATGGTCATTTAGATTTTGATAGAGATTGCATTAATCTAATGGAGAATAATTCCATTTTAACAATATTATGTCTTCTAACCCATGAATATGCAATGTCTTTCTATTTATTTAAGTCTTCTTTAATATATTTTAGCAATGTTTTATAGTTTTCAATGCACTAGTCTTGTACCTCCTTGGTGAAATTTACTCCTAAATATTTCACTCTTTTTTATGCTATTATAAATGGAATTGTTTTCTTAATTTCCTTTTGGGATTGTTCATTGCTAGTATATATAAATACAACTGATTTTTGCATATTGGTCATGTATCCTCCAACTTTGATGAATTCATTTCATAGAACTATGTTCTATGTTATAGTTACTAGTCAAAACCACACTAGAGAGTGCCTGAATAACTTGGTACAATGAGTTACTTCAGAAAAACCATTACATTAAAAAAAAAAAAGGACAGTTTTCTTATCACATTTCTATTTTAATTGATATAATGGCTATTATTATATACCTCTTCCACAAGATAATGGTGAATTTAAAATAAACCTTTCTGCATATGACCAGAACAATTGCAATGTACTCTTGCTTTCAGAAAGACTATTATTTTTGTTAACAAAACATTGTTTGTCTGGTGGGTAAATAATAAACCTGTCAGCCCA